TAGGATCAATGAGCATATAACCTAGCCAACAGAAATAACTCTCTCGGCCTTTATCGTATAACTTAATGTTGCATTTTTGTGGTGAAAATAATAACAAAGTTAATAAAGTTTTATAATTTTTACTTAAATATATTTGTTTTCAATTAAAATTATATTTTTGGCTAAAAAACATTTTGTTTTTAACTCTGTTAACTTTAACAGCACTCTGTTAATTTTAACAGTACTCTGTTAATTGCTGAGTGGTTTGAGTATTTGCTAGATAGATTCGAATCTATCTTAATGGACATGCAAAAAAAATCGATAATTAAGAAAGCTTTAGGAAAATATGATAATGGACACAAACCCAACTAAAACTAATTATTATGAATAGAAAAAACGAAATATGATGACGAATAGGACTTTGATTCTACCTATAGTTTTGTACTGCAATATACTCAAAAATCTAACATTAGCATTTTTTTTCTGAAAATTATATTTCTCATAAACCTCTTTTTCTACCACTGTATCTCATTTGAAGCACATAATGAATTATTAAATTAACAATTCGTTGGAGTTTCTGTTTAACCACTTGAAGGTGTTTTTATTTCATTTTACTGTTGTTCGTCTTATTACCGATCTCATCGACCGCTTCATGTTAGACGTCGTCGAAACGGAGCCATCGACCACCATCAACACACCTATAGCCGATGGCCAAAAGAAAAAATCCAGTTATTCCGAAGCAGACAGTAAACACAACAACACAATTGCATGAAATTCACCAGTTTCTGTTTAACTAATATCTATTGCGTTGTTGTTGTAACAATTCTTGTTGTTGTAATTAAATTGCAACAACCTAGGCAACCTTAATATTGGAAATCTTTTATTTTCTTCTCTTAATTGTCAAATTGGTAGGAGGTTGAAACTTAAGTTTATAAAATTTGAAAGATAAGTGGGTAGAGATTTGCAGTTCTGCAGACAATAGAAGAGCCTAATATCTTCTAAAGGCAGTTAAAGACCTCGAGGTCATGTAAAGGCAAAAGAAGACCCCAAGGTCAATACCCCAAAGGCCAAGGTCAAGACCCCAAAGACAATAGATGGCCTCAGGGTCATCTAGCAGACATCAAGGTCGTCTATAGGCAAAAGGAGACCTCAAGGTCGTCTGTTGAATATGGAAGACGTAAAGGTCTTCTATAGAAAATAGAAGACCTCAAAGTCCTCTTTAGACAAAAGAAGTCCTCAAGATCTTCCATGGACAATAAAATACCTCAGATACCCTATGAGCAATAGAAGATTTCAAGGTCTCCTAATGAAAACAGGTCTTCTATAGACAATAGAAGACTACAGGGTTGTCCATATTCGACGGACCCATGTGGCAACGCCATAACTTTTGACAGAGATGTCACATCGCTTAATGACATACCGCGTCTGAAGCGTCAGTCCAAGCAGATTTTTACCATGAACCAATACACGCCACGCGAGCGCTCTGAAATAGTTGAAATTTACATTCAACAGAAGAAGTCAATTGTGAAAACTCAACGTGCTTTTAAAACATTAAAAAATGTGAGAAGTGCGCCTTCTAAGAACACCATTAAGCGTTTATACGAAAAATTTTTGACTGGTAAGGCTCTTTCTAATCCGAAGAGGCCATATAAAAGTCGACCAAGGTGATCGGCCGAGCCAGTGTTGAGAGGTCCCCAAGAACATCCCAAAAACGCCGTTCTCAGCAGTTGGGCATGGCTCGGTCCACTTTACAACGGATTATTCGCATTGATTTGCATTTGTTCGAACAAAGAATTTGATGCTATTTCCGACATTTGTTGCTTTCATTCAATAAAATTAAAAAAAAAATATATAAAAATCATGGCTTTTGAATTTGTTGCAGTTTTTTATCTCACCCTGTAGAGGGCCACAAGGTCGCCAATAGACAATAGAAGACCACAAGGTCGCCTATAACCAATAGGCGAAATCAAGGTCCCCTATTCAATATAGCAGACCTCAAGGTCTTCTATGGACTAAAGAGCACTTCAATGTCTTCTGTACGCAATAGAAGACCTCAAGGTCTTCTATACACAATATAAGACCTCAAGATCTCATGTGGACAAAAGAAGACCCCATTGCCTCCCATCGATATATTTGCCTGTGTATGTGAACATATGTGTGTATACACCTGTATAAGACATAGCTTTTTCATTCGTATTGTATTTAACACCAAATGCATTTCGTGTCTGAAAAACACAAGTATTTATTATCGCGTGTTGAACAGCTGTTGGCAATTGTACATTTTGTTGTTGCAACTGTTTGCGTTCATTGTTGCTATTGATTTTGAGTTCATTGATTTAATAACAGATTTGGGGTTGGAGATGTTGTTGGCTACAGTTAATCACAATTGCACACACGCACCAATTTTGTCTTGGCTTTGTGTCGGCATAATTAAATCAAATTTTATTGGCAGTGTTTCGTTGAAAAAAAAAACAAGAAACAAATCAATTTTTATGATTTTTTTTTTTTTTGGAAATTTGTTAATATTTCATGAAAATATTTGTATTTTCTGGTGTTATCTGAGGTCAGTTTTTTGGCTATGAAAAGTTGAATGGTTAACATTACATGTACATATGTACGTACTTGAGTATGGAATTTTCTTTTGGATTTCATTGATAACCATATACATTTTTATACCCCCAGCCATAGGACAGAGAGGGTATACAGAGTTGCCCATATTCGATGGACCCATGACTTTTTGGGCCCATTCCAATCGACGAGGCTTGTCCGCAGGCAACATTCTTGGCGTCAATTGAATTTTGTACGGAAACAAATGCAAATCAATGCGAATAATCCGTTGTAAAGTGGACCGAGCCATGCCTAACTGCTGAGAACGGCGTTTTTGGGATGTTCTTGGGGACCTCTCAACACTGGCTTGTACGGCAGCGATATTCTCGGCCGATCGCCTTGGTCGACTTTTATATGGCCTCTTCGGATTAGAAAGATCCTTACCAGTCGAAAATTTTTCGTATAAACGCTTAATGGTGTTCCTAAAAGGCGCACTTCTCACATTTTTTAATGTTTTAAAAGTACGTTGAGTTTTCACAATTGACTTCTTCTGTTGAATGTAAATTTCAACTATTTCAGAGCGCTCGCGTGGCGTGTATTGGTTCATGGTAAAAATATGCTTGGACTGACGCTTCAAACGCGGTATGTCATTAAGCGATGTGACATCTCTGTCAAAAGTTATTGCGTTGCCAGATTGGTCCGTCGAATATGGGCAACCCTGTATATCATTTGATACGACCAAAACGTGCTTCATCGAAATAACGGTTTTAGACCCTATGTCTCTTTGGGCCAAATCCGTTTCAGGACACTTGGAGTCAATCTAGCGATGTCCGTTCGTCCATCCGTCTGTCTGGCTGGTGCGCACGATAGCTCTCGAAGGGAGTCCAAACTTGGTACATCGTAATATTATTATTAAACTTTGATCGTGTTCGGAGATAGATAATAGCGGTCCACTCCTTCTGGCACCTCCCCGCAAAAGGTCCAAATTTTCAAAAAAAAATATTTTACTGTACACAAAGAGAAAAGATTATCCGAATTTGATACAACTTTGCAAATCCTAATATTTGCATCAGTGTTACGTCAGGTGCGAACTTGGACAATATCGGTTGGCTCCAACATGTACCTTCCACACAAAGGGTCTACATTTTGAATAATTAAAACTCTTATAAAGTGTGATGTCAGAGTCCTATTGTTTTCAAATTACACACATCCAATTATTTTTACTATCGTAAGATCTGATGTGAAAATGGAATATATCGGTCCACTCCTTCTGGTACCTCCCCCACAAATGTTCACAATTTTGAATATCTGTGAAGCTCCTAAAACGCAAAATTAACATGCGATTCCATTCAGACTTGGTACATCACCATATTTCTATCAACAAAAAATCTGTTAAAAAGATGGTACAGATCGGACCATTTCTTCTGGTACCACTCCCACATAGTGCAAGATTTTGAAAATCAAAACGCTCAAAAAAGTTGAAACAAGAACCCAACTCTCTTCAAATCTCTTACATACAGGGTTTCCCTTATTCGACGGACCAATCTGGCAACGCCATAACTTTTGACAGAGATGTCACATCGCTTAATAACATACCGCGTTTGAAGCGTCAGTCCAAGCAGATTTTTACCATGAACCAATACACGCCACGCGAAATAGTTGAAATTTACATTCAGCAGAAGAAGTCAATTGTGAAAACTCAACGTGCTTTTAAAACATTAAAAAATGTGAGAAGTGCCCCTTCTAAGAACACCATTAAGCGTTAATACGAACAATTTTCGACTGGTAAGGCTCTTTCTAATCCGAAGAGGCCATATAAAAGTCGACCAAGGCGATCGGCCGAGAATATCGCTGCCGTACGAGCCAGTGTTGAGAAGTCCCCAAGAACATCCCAAAAACGCCGTTCTCAGTAGTTGGGCATGGCTCGGTCCACTTTACAACGGATTATTCGCATTGATTTGCATTTGTTCCCGTACAAAATTCAATTGACGCAAAGAATGTTGCCTGCGGACAAGCCTCGTCGATTGGAATGGGCCCAAAGAGTCATGGGTCCGTCGAATATGGGCAACCCTGTACATCATATTTATTTAGATCCGAGACGAAATGGACAATATTGTCCCATTTCTTCGATCCTCTATTCCATGGATGGTCAATAATTTGAATAATCATAACACAAGTCAAAATATATTTAAATAATTGAACATTGGCTGAGAGTATACATCTGTCGGGAAAACCGACTGACTTTCAGAAGTACATCGATCATTTAGGATTTAAAAGATTTGAAATATTTAAAAAGCGGAGAAAAATATGAAGTTATAATTTCAATTAATAATAAATAACAATATTTTTGAGGACGTCACGTTTTTCCAAATTGTAAAAGAGAAGTCTCGTACTCACCACAGATATAAGATTTTTTGTTGTTATAATTTACTTTAAATTTGTATGGCATTTTTATTATTATTATTATTTTTTTTTTTTTTTTTTGACTAGGAAGCATAGTTTTCTGTTTAAAGCATCGCATTTCTTTATATAAATATGTTTCACAAAATATATATTTGTTGTTTTGTAAAATCTCTATTTAGAAATTCATTGGATGTTCCCTGATTTGAGTAAAGCTGAGTTTTTTGTTTATTTTTAATAACTATCACCAGTGTCATAAAATCTACTTATTTCTTCTTGCGCAAATGAGGACCATCTCCCTCAGATGAGCGACGTTTGGGTATCAACTGAGTTTTTGTGGGCGATTTGTCTGAGCCATTTTTAGGGGGGACCTGAAAATACAAGATAAAAACAATAATATATTTAATATAAAGTTTTAATAAAAAAATTAAAAATACATTCTAAAAATTTGTAATTAAAGTTGTTTTAATTTTTCTTTGCAGGAATTCTATTTAGATCGCAATAGCCTGACATTGGTACCATCACATTCCCTAAACGGTCCAATGTCACTGAGACATTTGTCCCTGAAATATAACCACATAAGTATGACATAAAAATCTCCAACTTTTACAATTCTTATTATTTTAACATTATTTTTTTCCTGTTAGCATTCCTGGTTCAAAATTCGTTCATTTCCCAACCCGAATTGGAGATTATCGATCTGCGTTACAATGAAATACGCGGCATAGTTGGTGGTTCATTTTATGGTCTACGTCGGATACGTGAAATAAAATTGGCTGGCAATCGTATTGTTAATCTCAACAGTGATGTCTTTGAAGATTTGCCAACGCTACAAAAACTGGATTTGTCTGAGAATTTCATGCAAAAGTTCCCCGTGGTTGCCCTGGCCGCCATTGAACATTTAAAATCGCTGAATGTGTCATCGAACATGTTGCAGGTTTGTGAATAAAATAAACGAATTTAAAGAGATTACTCAAAATATCTGTGATATTTTAGCGTTTTGACAGTAGCCACGCCCAGGTCTTAACAGCATTGGAATCCTTGGATTTAAGCCGTAATAGCATTACCGCAATACCACCGGGCACATTCCGTGAAATGAAGTCACTGAAATATTTGGACTTGAGTTTGAACTCATTGAGGACGGTAAGTACACACAACGTCCATACTTTTGTAAAAGTTTTAGTAGTCCTAGTTAAGGAGTTTTATTGACATTCATTTATCAACGTTCGGAGAACGTTATCCCCTTCCACCTTTTATTAAATGTTCGGATTAAGATTCCTAGGAATCTTTGCATTTTCAATTGAGAGATGAAAAAACTGCAATCAACTTCAGACTGCTGTCATTTCTAAGCCAATCGTCTGACAGCTGTTAAAATTATTCCAGTGAAAGTATTTTGGTGAAAAATGAGCTCGGCCAAGCCATTGAAATTCCAAAAAGTGCAAGAACTTACACCGCAACAGAAAGAAAATAGATTCAAATGAGCTAAAGAGTTGCTTCGCTTGGTCGAAAGTGGTGAACAACCGAATTTAGTTGGACAACATTTGTTGTCCAGAAGTTTGTAAACACACAAAATTATCGTGTTTACTTGCCAAAGAGGTTAGCTGAAAATTTGCATCTTCGGTTGGACACCAGAACTCAAGCGCCGGCCATGGTGATGGTGTGGGCCGCCATAACAGCTGATGGTCGCTCTTCGCTCGTATTAATCGACTGTGGCATCAGAAAAAATGCCGAATATTATCGCGAAAATATTCTGGAGGGTGTATTAAAGCTTTGTGTACGCAAACATTTTGGCCGCAGACCTTGGGCATTCCAACAGCACCATCTTGGGCACCATCGGACTCAGCACGCGCCACCCAAGAATGGTTACAAAATGAGGTTCCTCGCTTCATTTCCAGCGCACAATGGCACTAAAAAATACCAAACTGTCGATCACCTCAAGCAAGCGCTTCGCCGGAAATGGGCCAAAATACCGCAGAGCAACATTCGGGCAGCGTGTGACAATTTCATTGGCCGTTTGAAGGCCATAATTCGTGCCAAAGGTGACCAATTACAACAATATGGCTTTTTAACTTTATTTGGTAGACAACTGTAATCCCAGGCGACCCGCCTGATATGTCTTTTTCGTTATTTAAAAAATGCCTTAAAACTCCCTTTAACTGGGATCGTAGCAAGGCAAAATATTCCACGAAATTATTTGTCATAAAATTCTACTAAATTCTATCCAAATTCCCAATAGTACCTCCATACCTCGGTTCACCTCGATTCCAATTTGTACCAAATTTAGTGTCATTCAGTACACATAAGTACGAATTTCAAAAACTTCGTACATACCTCAATCCTACAATGTAAGAGTAATCTTATTTCTAAAATTTCAGCATTCCAGCTCTATCGGTTCACACAAATCGAAATTGTAGCACATTTAGTACTTTTCGTACACATAAGTACGCATTTCGAAAAAATACATCCCAATCCTACGCTCCACCAGCAATGTTAGTTTCATATTTCTGGATTCCAGCTCTATCCGTTCCTCCATATTTCAATTGTATCAAATTTAGTACCGTTTAGTAATTTCCGTACACATAAGTACACACTTCCAAAACTAGCTCCTTAAATTGACCCTTCTCCTCAACCTTGATTTTCATATAAAATTTCAAGTTATTAACTTAAATTATTGTACATTTTAGTACTTTTCATTTAAAATTTAAAATTTCTAGCTCCTTTTAGTACCCTTTCGTACTTTTCGTAACGTTCTACCACGTATTTCAAAAACCCCAGCCTTATCTGACACCTTCGGACCAGGAGTGACCCTTACCCAAAATTTTAAGATTATTATAGATTATTAAAATATTTACTCATTTTTTCCCCCTCTCTATATCTCTCTTTACAGATCGAAGACGATGCCCTGGAAGGGTTGGATAGTCTGCAGACACTGATCATACGTGACAACAATATTCTTCTAGTCCCCGGTAATGCTTTGGGACGTTTATCCAACCTCAATGCCTTACATTTGGATTTCAACCGGGTAGCCGCCTTGTCAGCTGAAATCTTGGGATCCATACAAGCTTCCGATATTCGTACTCTAACCCTGTCGCGTAATGTCATACGTGAGCTGCCCACTGGAAGTTTCCAAATGTTTAGCAATTTACGTTCCTTGGATTTATCGGGCAATTCATTGGCCGTTATAAGTGCAGACATCTTCCAAGGTCTCGAAACATCGCTGAATGAATTGAAATTAGCTCAAAATCGTTTAACTGGCCTGGGCAACACGCCATGGGCTTTGACTGAATTACGTAGCTTGGATTTGAGTCACAATAACTTGGCGGAAATTCCCAAGAATATTTTGGAAGGCTTACAGAATTTGCAGTATTTGAATTTAAGTGGCAATCATCATTTGACACCCATACCTGCCGCCCTGATACGTCCATTGGCACGGCTACAAATTGTGGATTTCAGTTTTTGTTCCATGAAACAGTTGTCGGGTGATTTGTTCTTAACTTTGCAGGATTTGAAACATATCTATTTGAATGATAACAATATACAGGAGATCAATGATGGTACCTTTATGGACTTGTGGAACATCACATCCATTGATTTGTCGAATAATCAAATTACCTCCATACGACCGGGAGCATTTGTGAATGTTATGAGCTTGCAGAAACTGAGCTTGAGGGGAAATCAGTTATCGGCTTTCAAGGGAGAATTCTTTAACACCGGTACCGGTATCGAGGAATTGGATATATCCAATAATCATTTGAGTTATCTATTTCCCTCTTCGTTCCGTATTCATCCCCGTTTAAGAATGATTTTGGCGGCAAATAACAAGTTCAGTTTCTTCCCGGCGGAATTAATTTCAAGCCTACAATTCTTGGAGCATGTGGATTTGTCCCAGAATCAATTGAAAACTATCGAGGAATTAGATTTTGCCCGTTTGCCACGCCTGCGGGTACTGAAAGTGGCCCACAACCAATTGGATATGTTGAGTGAAATGGCCTTCCACAATTCGACTCAGCTGCAAGTTCTGGACTTTTCCAATAATAATTTGGATCGCATTGGAGAGAGGACCTTTGAGGGTCTCATACGTTTGGAATCTTTGAATTTGGAAAATAATAAACTGAACGAACTGGCTGAGGGCATTTTTGAGAGCGGTAAATTGGAGTTGCTGGAAAGTGTCAACTTGGCCGGTAATGGGTTTGAATATGCTCCCCTCAAAGCTTTGAGGCGTCAGTTTTATTTCGTCTCCTCTGTGGATTTGAGTCACAACAAAATCACTGCCATACCCAGCGATGATGATATGATGGTGAATATTAAAAATTTGGATTTGTCATTTAATCCCCTGTCGCGCGATGCAGTCAAACATATTTTGAATGAGCCAAAAACGGTGAGGGAGTTGAACTTGGCCGGTACCGGAATTGATCACTTGGAGGCATTGGAGACACCTTTCTTGCAGTACTTGAATTTGTCGCACAACAAATTGAAGAGTATAGAACCAAAGGTCTTTGAACGCACCACTTTATTGGAAACTTTGGATTTGTCCAACAATCTTTTGGATAATCTTACCGAACTTTCAGCTGCCTGGCCAAAACTTCAGGTGCTCCACACTCTCGATTTGTCCAATAACAGCTTTGAATTGGTCTCCCAAGGTGACTTTGCCAAACTAAATGCCTTAAGGTATTTGAAACTTAATGATTTGATTAAATGTACACGTCTGGAAAAGAATGCCTTTAAGGATATAACCCATCTCTCGTCCCTGGAAGCGTTCAATCTACCCTCTGTGGGCTATTTGGATTTGCAGGGAATTTTGGAGCTATTACCAGGTTTGGAAATGATAGATGTTGAGGTAAAGGATACGTCAATTGGTACCGAACAAATTCAGCCAGCCAAACATCCTCGGTTACGCTCGCTAGGCATAAGGGGTGACCGTTTGAAGTCAATATCTTCGGGAACCTTGGCTGGGTTAAAGAGCAGCGATCTTACCATAAAACTTCAAAATACCTCACTTACAGCCCTGCCACCGGCCCTACTTTTCCCTGTACCCAGATCTTCACATCTCACATTGGACATTGAAGGATCCAAGGTTGGGGTTTTGGTGCCACAGTTTCTCAATGCTCTGGAGGATCGCCGCTCCAGTTTGAATTTGAAGGGTTTGGCCAGTAATCCCATACACTGTGATTGTAATGCTCGGGCCTTGAGAAGATGGTTGCCCAACTCCCGCATGACCAATGTGGCTTGCCATTCTCCCGCCTATTTGGCGGGTAAAAAACTCATTGAAGTTGGCGATGATGAGTTGACCTGTGATCCTCGGAGAATGACCTCCACAACAGCAAGAACCACAGCAACTAATATGCTCAAATCCTCCTCTCGTTTGGTAACA